CATCCTCCAGTACCAGACTGATAGTCCTCATCAAAAACTGCTCCACATACCCAAAGCTGGGAAAAATATTTATTTTTTTTTTCCAGCAAGTCTTCCTGGAGATAATGAATGTTGTAATCATTTTTGCTTCCCCTTTGCCCTGTCTGCTAGGAAGTTCAGGTCCCAGTTTTGCTCAACTGCTTCATGTAACTGTTCTCCCTCCTCCTACTTTTTATATATGGCTTTAGCTCTCATCCTGACAGAATGGTTTTATGTGTTTGTATACCTACGTTTCATTGTAAGCTTCTTATAAGAAGCCCTGAACAGCCCATACCTGTGCCCCTGCTTATTGTATAATGGTCAAGTTCCATGGTTCTGGTTCTGAAGTTAGGAAAATGTCGCAAAGGGGAGTGTATTTCCCAATATCTAACCAACCCATTTTTACCTAACCAACCCATTTATATCTAACCAACCCATAAATATGTTGTTGTGGTGGGCAATGGAGATGGTGGTAGCTAAGGAAAGGTGGAAATAATGAAGAATGAAGGAGTTACTAAATACTTAGAATATGGTAAGAAATCTTTTAGCATGTTATCAGAGACATTACAGGGCCATAGATTAGATACCCAGATTGGAAAACTTAAACTTCAGGAAGCAAACTCCCTTTGAGATGAACCAGGCTTGGTTTTCCTTTGTTTTATTAACACTGGCTTCATCCAGGGTTTACAATGCATCTAGCAAGCTGAATTGGCTACAGGACCAATTTAGAAGCTCTGCGTAATGTCTTTGAACACCTTAATGTTGACATAAAATCTATAATTCACAATTTCAGGATATGCTTCTTGCAGGGAAGAGAGGAGAGCCTCCTCACAGGGGCTAAACAACAATACAAGAGTTCAAAAGGGTTGAAGATGCCCCGTGGGTATTTGGATTGGCACTCAAAAACTCACGGATGCTCACGATTGCTTATCTGACTTATCTAAACTGCTGACGTCAAAAGAATTAGGCTAGAAATCTTATGATTACAGCTTTTCTTGTGATCTTTTCTGGTATTTCCTGTTTCCTGTGAGGCCAAATATACTTCGAGAGAGGGTTATTTTATGGCATTTCACTGTTTCTGTCTCAGCTAGATCCAAAGGTACAGAGAGCATGGAGTAAAAATAATTAAAATAACATCAGAAATCTCTGCCCGCCCCACTCCCCTTACTCACTGACATTTCTTTTTAAGCATCAAACCAATTTCTACAATGGTTCAGAGTAGGATCATATTTTTAATGGAACAAGGTCTATTGTTGATTTAAAAGAAGAAGCCACTTCAATTGTATTTCTAACTATTGCCTTATTTGGGTAGTCATAAGCAGATAGGCTCTGAACGGCATTAGCAGGCAGGCCGGGAAAGCTCTGAGAGGAGGAGGAGGAGAAAGTTTCAGAGGATAAAAGAGGAAAAATGGCCATCAAAGACTACACTGTTCCTTTGGGGCTACAAACATCTTATAGAAGCAGGAAAGAAAAACAAATGGTGGGGGTTGGGCCTGTCCAGTTTACATCTTGCCTAAAGGTAGCTAAATCTTCAGCTTGCTTTCTGCACACAGGCCCTGAATCATAGTCACCACTACCTTTGCAAAGAGAGCCTGAGGAATTGAGAGGCTGATTCTCAGTAGCTTACGGGTACATGTACCACAGACCCAAGCTTCAATAGCCATTTGGAATGGCCCTGCCTGAAATTCTACCTCCAGGCAACAATGCAGAAGGCAGCAGAACTCCTGAACAGGACCACAGTAACATTTTATTTATATTGGTTAAGCAACCAGCAGCTACCACTTCTATCTATCTTACCTATAACTTTGTTAACCTTGTAATCCTGCTTAAATTCTCACCTCTGGGATAATTTTTTTTCTGGTGAATGTCTATCTCTTTAGTACACTGCACGCAATGTTAATGGGAAAATTCACAAAGAGAGGGTTTGGAACTTGCCTAGACAATTTCTAATGTAAGTTTGAAAACAAGAAAAATGCACATAAACATATCACATGCACGTTTACATGCAGACATCTAACTCTTGCTCATGGAAAGATGGACACCACACACTTACATAATGCCATCACAGAGACGTTAAGTACCTGGGAGTGAAAAGGATAGAAAATTGGATTTAGAGAGATTGTCATGTTGGAGAAGCCTTGGCTGGAGTTGGGCGGCTTCAGGGTTAGACCATGACCGGCAGCGTGGCTGAGTCAATGGTATGGCTGGATGTCAGTGGACCTCAAGTTGGCCCCTGTGCAATCAATAACTAGCTCTCTGCCCCAAGTATGTTGTGTAACATCTGTGGAGTCTCACCTTTCTCACCACAAAAAAAAAAATGCAGTGATTTAACTAGATAATCTCCAAGACCCATTTTCATTATACAATTCAATGGAAAGTACCCTTTACTGTTCCATTTAAAGATTTTCAATGGTTCTACAAGAGTTAAGGTTTCTCGTCTATGTGTAGTCTGTTCACACTAATATCTTTCTCTGTTTCCCACCTTTCTTCACTCCTAACACTGTGCCAAGCGAATTTGACTAATCTCCATTCTCAATCATTTCCTGTGCTTCTTTGCCTTTGTACCTATGTTCACGTTTATTCCCTCACCAAATTTCTCACAGTTGGTTGAGATCATAACCATCCTAAAGACATAGCTGTAATGATCATCCAGCACAGAGTCTTCCTCGGTCAACCTACAAAGGGTCAGTTAATGCCCAATCCCCACAGAGTATCAATCACACTTGGTTTGTTTCTGAGCACATAACTTGATCGCACTGCATTATAAGCTACATAAAAAATCATATTTTTCTTAGTTTTCTCATCCATCCAGTGGTATCTAGTGTTGGAAGAATTGTTTGCTCAGAAAAAATGGAGGGCCAGTAGGGTGGCTCACAACTGTAATCCTAGCACTTTGGGAGGCAGAGGCAGGAGGATCACTTGAGGCTAGGAATTTAAGACCAGACTGAGCAATGTAGCAAGACCATGCCTTTAAAAAATAAAAAAAATTAGCTGGGCATGGTGGTATGCATCCATAGTCCCAGCTACCTGGGAGGCAGAGGGTGGAGGATTGCTTGAGCCCAGGAATTCAAGGCTGCAGTGAGCTGTGATTGAGCCCCTGCACTCTAGCCTGGGTGACAGAACAAGACCTCATCTCAAAAACAAGCAAACAAACAAACAAAACAGGCCATCTAAGGACTGGAAGAAATATGAGTTGGCAATGTAAGAAGGATAGACTGTTCTGAGACTGTGGTGATAAACTGTGTTCTGCATTTGGGAAGAGATAGATATGACTGCCACAGCAGGTCTAGATGGAAGTATAAATCCTTCATGATAGGATGATACCATATGTCAAGGGCTTTGGTTTGATTATTTCTATATTACTCCTTGTGGCTTTGTGTAAAATATATAGCACTTGGGAAATTTTGTTTGTAAGTTGAAGGGAAAATATTCAGCATCTCAAAATTCTTCAACATCTTCCAAATATGGTCAATTAATGCCACTTATCGTTATACATATTCATTAATATGCTCACCCAAACTCCACCTCTCCACCAGCCACTGTGACTAGAATGATCTTTCTAAAATGTAAAATTTATCACGTCACTTCGTGCTAAAATTGTTTGAAGTTTTCTTATAGGCTAGAGGATAAACTCCTTAGAACGACAGATGAGGCTGTTGGCAAGCTGACCCCCAACATATCTTTCTAATCTTATTCTAGCCCTTCCCTGATTCACTTTATACCCCACAACTTGGCTTTCCCTGAAAGGTCTTGCATTTGGTCCTATGTTTCCTTATCCTATAGTGTCTTCCATCTTTTCTTCATTTGGAGAAATGTAACTTACCTTAAATGGTACCTAAAAAAATAAAATCACCTCCTTGTTTTTTTTTTTTTCAGATGGAGTCTTGCTTTTGTCACCCTGGCTGGAGTATAATGGTACAACCTCAGCTCACTACAACCTCTGCCTCCTGGGTTTGAGTGATTCTCCTGCCTCAACCTCCAAGTAGCTGGGATTAAAGGCACCTGCCACCATGCCTGGCTAATTTTTGTATTTTTAGTAGAGACAGTGTTTCACCATGTTGGTGAAACTCCTGACCTCAGGTGATTCACCTGCCTCCACCTCCCAAAGTGCTGGGATTACAGATGTGAGCCACCACTCCCAGCTCATCACCTCCTTTCTTGACACCTCCTTTATCACCATCATACAGACAGAATTAATCATTCTCTTATGTGTTGGCAGTTGGCACAGACGTGTATGTACATTTAGTATATCATATATCATATCTATGTACCTATCTATCTACCTACCTATTATCTATCCATCCATCCATCCATGCATCCATCCATCCATCCATTCATCTGTCCGTCCATCCGTCTGTCCATTCACCTCAATATTTTTGGCTCATGAATATTTATTTTTGAAGGAATGAAGCAGTGTGGCACATGATAGGTGCTAAATAAACTTAGTTGAATAAACACTTTTGATTCTTCCTCTATGTTCCCACAGAGTATTATTTCTACTTTATTGTAAAGCATATGCCATTATACTTGGTATCAGTGATTCTTCTAACAGGTCGTAATCTCCTTTATACTGTCCCAGACAGAAAGCACAATGCTATGCACTAAGTAAAGAAAACTAGAAATTTGAATTTTTCATTTTCCTTTCTGAATATCTTAAACAACCAGTAAATAGAGGTCTCAATTTCTTCTATTTCTAAGTTGGAAATAACACCTATTTGGTTGATGCTTATTGTTTAGCATAAGAAGTTCAGTCTTGTATGTAATACTGAAACACCATTTTCCATTCTGTGACCTCCTAGTATGTTTCTAACAATTTTTGAAGAATTTGAGACATTCTCAAAAATTTTTCAAAAACAAAATTTGTTTTAGTCCAATTTTGTCTATTTACATTCCCTGCTCATTTTCTTTCTAGAGGATAAGGGCCAAAGAAAGGAGGAGAAGAGCTCTCAGAATTTCCAATTAGCACATTTAAGCAGTGAAAATGTAACAGACCTGACCAGAATGCAATGCATTGTGCTATTAAGACCACTATTCCAATTAGCGGCAGATACAGAACCTCAGCTCTCAATGTGAAAATCCACCAGAAAGGTGAGATTGTACACATCGTTTTTCATGCATTACAGTCATTTGGTCAAAGTTTTCAGTGTCAATGTTTTGAGATGGTTGTGGAAATGTATGTGTTTATTTTAATAGACAGAGAAAGAGGTAGTAGAGAGAGTGGAATAATCACGTCTAGCTCTTGCATGAGAATGTAACTAAAATAAATAATATTGAATATGCAATGCTCAAGGATAGGGCTTAGCACATGATAACTTAACCAATGTGTGATAGAGATCCGGTTTTTTGGTGAATGTCTGTGTGCCATTTTCTTTTCTTTTACACTCTCTTGTGCATATCCTCTGCTTCCACCCCTCCAGAGGCATACACTGAAGATCATTTGTAATATTATAGTAAGAATGAGAAGAAAAGGAGGGAGCTGATATTCACTATTTGACCTTCAGAGTAGCAGGTTTTTGGAGTTTGTTTTGTGTGTATGTTTGCAAAAAGACAGTAATCTTAAGAGCTTATCTTTGTGGAAAGCTGTCTTCTTTTACTAGATCCCTTTAATATATTAAGAGGTAGGCTTGTAGATATGAGTCTACATTGAGGCTTCTTTCTCCAGGGAGGAAAGAGGATATGGCACAGGGTAAGGTCATGTACAAGACAGAGTCAGAAAGTCTACTCCTGATATCCTGGGGAATTGCAGGGAAGAGTCAAAGGCAGAGCCCAGTGGCACACGAACATGCCTTTGCTTCTCCCTCTGAGGTTGGCACCTCTCAGGTGTGTACAGGAGAAACATGTTAGGTCTGTAGGAACCCAAGGCACATATTCACCCAGATGCCAACCTGGAGAGGAGCAAAGAGTGGGAAGGTATTTGTTCAAAAGAAGTAATGTAATCGAGAGGAGACTGACCACCATGTTGCTAATTAGCAAGCTTCGATCTCCCTATTCCCCATTAGGATGGGCTCAAGAGGATAATTTGCTTGGTTGAAGAAGAAATTCAGGCTATATGTCATTACACATTTGAGCATGCAAATTTGAAATCTCTGTTACAAATGGTTTAAATAGTGACTGTTTCCTTCTCATTTCTGTATGTGTTTTTGATTACACTTCTTATATTTGAATGTTTCTTTGTAGTAACCTCACCTGACTCCCTTCTTCTGGGTGCTCCAGGCCTGGCTGTCTGCCTGACACTTCTTTTCTAAATTATTTTATTCATCAAACTATCCACTGCTTTGAATGAACTACTGTCACAAATCCTCTAAATGTACATGTCTTCACATTTTCTGAAGTGCTTGTTGCTCTTGTTTATGGCTTTATGTGAAATATTTGGGTATCATCCAAAAAGATTTGGAGAAGGAAGCAAGAAAGAGAATCTTTAGTTTTGGCTTTAATTCCAGAGTTTAAGAAAGATTAAAATTTTAATTATTACATGATATGTGTCTTATTACCCTTGGTTATTTAATTTTCCTTTTTGATACCTTTCCAAAAGATTGACATTCACTCCGATCATAGCTCTCACCTTGATTTTATTTTACAATTTTCTGGCTCCTGTACCTTTCGATTATTTTATTTTTACTACCATGTTCATGCAACTGTGAGTCGGTCTTTCTTGAAGTATGTGCTTTTCTCTCTAGTGATTTTATTTTTCTGTAGTAAGCTTGGCCTCTTGGACCCAAGGCCTTCCGCAACTAAACCCTGCTTTCTCTTTGTCAGCCATGCCTTCCAACTGTGTACAAGGCTGACAAGTTTTATGCTGTCACTCATGATGAGAACTGTGACCTACTCACTGGAGTACTCCCTCAGCATTTGCGTGACAGCAGATGAAGTAACAAAATGCTCAGGACAGTGGCTTGCTTTATAAGCTCTGAAATAGATGCCGTGTGGATGTTTTAGGTAAGAAGTGCTTAGAAGAAGGAGTCCCTAATAATTTTATAGTTTGAGGAAATTTAAGACAAGTTCAAAGATATAAAACTCATTTCTTGGGGTGGTCTTTTGGCATTTTAGAGATCAAAGTCAATTCCAAAGCGAAATGTATGGAAAGGCAGAGAGGGATAAACAAGAAAATGAAGTGTAAACTTCACACTGTGTGCTTTCAAGACTACAGCATTGTATTACATCACAAATTCCATGAACCCTGCTTACTATTTTTGATATGATGAGATGTACCTTCTATGTATTATCAAGCGTACCAAAAATTAAAGAGTGGAACAAAATCAGATAGAAGAGAGTGCACACTTTCAGTTGCTTCTGTGATTTAAAAAAATAACCTCTAAGCTTTTGGGCTTTTCACAATAAAGCTACTAATTTTTTTTTAAATGAATTTGTCTGATGCAAAAGTCAATGCTTTTCTGTTGAATTGAACCAGTCTTGTTTAAAATTAAATTTAAAAAAAGGAAAGAAAAGAAAAAAGAAACTGTTTGCAGAGAACGAGCAGAGGACTTGGGAATACCATCCTCCATCAAGCGTCAGCCCCTCAAAAGCTCATTTGTAGGGCTGGGCAAACACATACCTTCTGCACTCTATTTTTGAAATTACGTTTGGGAGTCTACAGACTGTTATCTGTAGAAGAAGCTGCTTTTGCAACTTTAGTTTATGTAAAGTGTTCCAAAATGCATGAACAGAGTAATTATTTAAAAAGTTACAAATGCATGTATTTGCTCTAAAATTTTGCAAATTAAAACTTCTCTATATGAAGAGAGAGCTGCCTATATTAGTTTTGCACTTATACCTTTTAAAAATAGTTCTCAATTTCACTCTTGTGTCTTCTTTTATTTTAAAAGCTATAATGACTAATCCTGATCTTCTGCTACAATATGTTTAAAAAAGATTCCATTAAAAAAGGAGAGCTAGAATTCATGTTTCTTGAGTTATCTGTCCCTAAAAGGATGTTCATTCATGCATTTAATGGCAATTTGTAAGCTATTTTATCCTTCTGATAATATTTTATTTTTCTCACATATCAAAATGTAGAGTGGCTGATGTGATAGATGTCAGGGAAAGTGTGAAGAAAATAGAATGTTCTCCAGACTCTCAAAGAGCTGGAATCTGGGAGGAGAGGAAGAAAATGTACACTAATTATAACAAAATAAAGTGATTTTTCTGTTAAATAAATAGAAAGAAAGGTCTGTGAAACTTCAGAAGAGGAAGACATACTTTCCTTCAGTAATCTCAGAAGGGATTCATGACGGGGCCAGGATGTGAGTGGGCTATGAAGGAATGGGAGAAGTTAGGGACATGGAGCAAAGTCATTTTAAGCATTGGGAACAATGAGCAGAAAACAAGTAGAGTCTGTGGGATGTCTGTCTTGTCTGGGTGGAATATGAGTGATCAGAGAGCAGTAATGATAAATAAGAATAGAAAAGTGAGCTAGTGCCAGATGGAGAACTTCAAAAGCAGGAGTAAAGAATTTGGATTTCCTCTGCAGACACAAGAGAATTATTAAAGAATTTTGAAGAAGGGTAGAGACATATCTTGACTTTTCTTTTTTTTTTTTTTTTGAGATCAAGTTTCCTTATGTTGCAGGCTGGAGTGCAGTGGCACCATCTCGGCTCGCCACAATCTCCACCTCCTGGGTTTAAGCAATTCTCCTGCCTCAGCCTCCCAAGTAGCTGAGACTACAGGCATGCACCACCACACCCAGCTAATTTTTGTAGTTTTGGTAGAGACAGGATTTCGCCATGTTGGCCAGGACAGTCTTGGTCTCCTGACCTTGTGATCTACCCCCTTAGCCTCCCAAAGTGCTGGGATTGCAGGCATGAACCACCGCACCCAGCCTGATTTTTCTTTGAACACTGTTGATCTAAATCACAGAATAGAATGACAATGGATAGGGGAGAGTTGGAGGCTATTGCAAGATTACAGACAAAACAACATGAGGTTTGACCAAGGGCCATGCAACTGATCCGAGAAAAGAGAATGAATGAGAGAAGTTGTTGAGAAAATAACATCAACATCAATAATTATGAGAGTTTACATTTACTGAGAGTGTGGTGGAAGTTAGATTATTTTCTAGGCACTTTTTTTTTGCTATTATGTCATTTAATCCCCACAACAACCTTTTGCAAAGATGCTATTATTTTATTCTCTTTTTATAGAAGAGGAAACTTAGGCACCAAGAGGAGAAGTACCCACCCAGGGTCACACAATTCAGTAACGAAGATGCAGAATTTAAAACTTTTAAAATCCCAACAGTGCAACTATACTCTGGCATCCTTAGCCTCTCTTATGGTCTTAAAACTAGTGGGAATTGGGGAGCTGGAGTTAGCAGTTTTGAACCTGGGTTTCTGTCATTCATGAAAATAAGTCAGGTGAAGGAAAAGGGTTAGTTCAAAGTAAGATGATGTGTTCCAGTTTTGACTAAATTTGCATTCACATTTAAAAGATGAATTAAATGATTAGTAATTATTATTATTATCCAGCATAGCTACAGAGTTAAAAACAGACTGATGTCTAAAAGCAGTAGTTTTAGAAAAATGTTGAGTTAATACTTATCTGGCATTGAGACTAATTGATTCTTTGCTCAAAGCAATTTGTCCTGCTTTGAATGAAATCATTAGAACTGATGAGTATTTGAAAGTGTGTACACATTTTTACAAGTGTTTTTGAGTTTTACCAGTTTTCCAGCCTGTAGTTTGAGTTGACAGAGAGGTTGAAACTAACAAGTACAGTTTTCACAGTGTAGTTGTAGACAGAGCTCTGATTCATCAGTCCATCACTGCTCTTTCATTATGCTTTTGATTCATCTCTGAGTCCCTGGTGCCTAGCACAGTGCCTGGTACACAGTAAGCATCCCATAAATGCTTCTTGATTATAATGATTGAAGTGTTCATTCTTTAACATATTTGGTTTATATCACTTGATACTTAAGACATTTTGAAATAGTAGTTTAAATGTTAATTTATTGTAGAGTACTGGAATCATAGAATGGTTTTGGAGATTTTCTTCTCAAAACCGTTTGATATTCAGGCCTGGGAAAAAAGCAAATTTCTGATTTTGCATTCTCCTTGAAAGGCAAGAGATGTTACAATGGCTATGGGGAAAATGAG